ATCGAGAAATAACGACTATTTGAATGTCACTATTGACACTGAACCTGAATTCCTAAAAAATCTAAAAGAGGTAAGTACAGAACATAGACATATTATATATACTACTGCGTATGGACCGGGTCATTCAACAAACAAAAAGGCATCGACTCATTGGTGCTAAAATGTTTATGGGAGTACCACCGCGACCACCAATGCGTGCCGTACGTCCGTCCATGCAGTGTTACCACTTTTAGATATTTTGGACTATTTTAGGGTAAATCTACTAATATAGAAAGGGCTTTAGGCGTTTCTCAAGTTGACAGGGTTTTGGATAATATAATATGGGGAAAACCAAACTTCATGTAACCCTGATTTTTATTCCCACAACATCATTTTTAAAGATTTATAAAAAGGGATAGGCTCAAAATAGCTAGAAAAGTGTAAGATGAAAAAGTTTTTCTTTAATAAATAATATAAAAAATAGAATAGAATAATGGTATACTTATTTTTACTTGGTTACATATTCGTTATATATATATATATATATATATATATATATATATATATATATATATATATATATATATATATATATTTTATATATATATATAAGAAACATTAAAGGCCCAAGGATACTCCCTTGTGGTACAAAATTAACGACGTTTCTGTATTTTAAGCGGAATGTTTATTCCATTTTCTTTCCGACATATTTTGATTATTTGGGTGCATTTTTTTCTGTTTGACAGGTATGATTCCAATTATTTACGTGCATTCCCTTTAGAGCCGTGGCAGCGCTGTTCGCTGTTTTTTATAGGATAGGGTGACAAACGAGCACACTGTCCAGCTGATGGTAAGTGGTTACTGCGGCCCATAGACATCTACATCTATTCTCGATTACAAATCAAAATGCAGATGCATTGTCACCCGTGAGGACTAAGATGGAATCCCTCGTTTCCAGTAAAAAGGGTCTCCGGTTCTCTACATTCGCCATACGAAACACAGCAGCGTTAAGCTACTATTTCACGCTGTTATTCTGTGAAAGCGTGGTCCTTCCCCAATCGAGCCGACCCATTCGTGCTGCAATTATACTACTAAGTACCCGGATAACCGAGCTTCTTTGAATAAAAAATCATGAGTGCAATTAGTTTTATTAAAATTTTCGTATTTTTAAAAAATACTAAAAAAGGGCTCGAAATAATAGATTTTCTCACAAAAGAAGGGAACTTGAAAAAAAAAGCGGACCGAAAAGGACGAAAAGACAGGACGCAAACCAAGGAACTACGATTTCGCGACGGCCCGTTATCCACTTGAGCTATTACGATCTTTGACACTGTGTCAAAACTTACCTTCTTATATTGTAGCAGTTTGTCATTGTCTTAAAACACGGACAAAAAGACATTTTCTAAAAATAAATCCTAGCTAGATCGATTTATTGCCCCACGAAACTCCCTGGACACTAAATTTTATGAAAATCGTTGGAGCCGTTTCCGAGATTCCGATATATATATATATATATATATATATATATATATATATATACAAGAGTTGCTCGTTTAAAGGTATAGGATATAACTGCAGCATGGCTCTACCACTCTGAAATAATCTGTAAATATAACAGAATGCGAGGAACCCGGGTTTGATCCCCGCCGGCACCAATGACATTGTTTAATTGCAATTTTAAGTGCTGATTTACCACGTCCTCGGCGGTGAAGGAAAACATCGTGAGGAAACATGCATGTCTGAGGAATAAGAAAAAAATATTACGAAGACATGTGAAGTTCGCCAACACGCATTGGGGCAGCGCGACGGACACTTCCTTGCCCTGATACCCCCGCAGAAATGAGGGGAGGATTGTGCCCAGCAGTGGGACGTATATAGGCTGTAACTTTACTTTACTATTCCCTCTTACACCATACATTTCTAGTTTATATAGTAATCGGTCATGGTTAACAAGATCAAATGATTTGGTCATATCCGTGAACATAGCACAAACGGGTATACGTTCATCAACATTAATTGTAGCATATTTAACTAATTCGTAAATAGCTGATGAAGTGAATATATTTTTAAAACCCATTTTGTTGTATAGTGAAAGTTTTGTGTTGCTCAAAGAAGGAATATAACCTATTGCATATAGCTTTTTCTATTATTTTTGAAAATAGTGGAAGGAGTGCTATCGGCCTATAGTGTTCCAGTTTGTGATTCTCACCTTTTTTTATATAGAGGATATACAGATTGTTTTATAACTAATTAACATATAAACCTTATTTCCAGTTATGGCTCTTCCCCGCCAATCCTTTTTCCTTAGACGTGCAATTCAACGAAGCTGGAGACCAAATTGTCGCCTCGAGATTTTTAATACAAGCGATTAACATCAGCGGTACTAATCACGAGAAGGAAATGGTAAAAGTTCTAAGAAATATTGTGGCAGAGTCGCCTCTTAATGCATCAGTCTTCCATCCATATTTCGTTTTCTTTGATCAGGTAACAATATATTTAATTAGGTATATGGATAATTTTCATCCGTGTAATAGAAATTGTAATATGACTTTTTTGTTGCAGTTTGAGCTCGTGAAGCCCACGTCTATACAGAACCTCTGTTACGGAGCACTTATGATGATGATTACTTCTTTTATATTTATCCCAAATATTTTATGCTCTTTGTGGGTTGCTTTTAGTATTATATCAATAGAAGTCGGTGTTGTGGGATACATGGCCCTATGGGATATCAATCTCGATTCTATATCAATGATCAATTTAATCATGTGCATCGGATTTTCTGTAGATTTCACGGCTCATATTTGCTATGCATACATGGCATCAAAGGCAAAAACTCCCGATGAAAGAGTAAGCGAATGTTTATATTCTTTAGGCCTCCCTATAGTTCAGGGTTCATTTAGTACAATTTTGGGAGTTGTAGCGTTGTTACTAGCAGACAGCTACATCTTTTCAGTGTTTTTCAAAATGGTATTTATGGTGATATTCTTCGGTGCAATGCACGGCTTATTCCTTCTACCGGTTTTACTCTCTCTGTTCGGCCCAGGGTCATGTACGAGGACAAACAAAGACATAAAAATGTCTAAAGTAGACAAATGTTATCCCCATCCATATTGCTTACCACACCCACAATTAGTCTTGAACGATCAGATCTTTAACGGAAAAAATATTAATCCCAATGGCGTCTACAAAATCTACGGAGATGATAAGGACTTAGGAATCGGTACTTCAGGTGAAGATACAAGCGAAAGTAGCTCTAACCAGTCGCAGCGAAGACAAATTGGTAAGAATGGAATGGACGATGGGAATGGAAAGAAGTACGAAGACGGGTGGAAAAGACCAAGCTACTGTCAAAGCACCAGTCAATTCCAACCCTCCGGTGAATTAGACTTGTACGGACACGATACAGACAGAACGTGGACAAGAAAACGCCACGAGGATAATCGCCGAACATTGGACAATTACCGTAGAAACCAAGTACATAGGGATGCTGACTGGGTCGCACCTCGTAAGACAAGCGATTCAGGACCTCTTCGAGAAGGTCCGTACAGAGTAATGCGAGCTCATTCGCATCACAACATACATAGGCCACGGGCCCCACGGCGTTCAAACTCCCACCACAATCTTGAACATTTAGACTATGTAGCGGAAATGCGTTTTCCCTGACAGTCATTGAAAGACCTCTGTTAATTGCAATACAAAGTTAGTATACTTCAAGTGCTCAATGTTTGGACCAAAGTTTCACTTTTCCTGTGTGGAAATTATTTTGCGCTTAATCGTGAAATAGTTGTTTTTAATGTAAAGCATATTACTTTATAGCATAAGATTACTTATTACGGGATTTATTTAAAATTTTATGTTCGGCAAATATGGACAGACACATGAGCTTAATTCTAAAATATTGCGTATGAAGAAATTCGCTAGCTTCATTAATTTTGGTAACGACAAATATCACTTAGGTTCAAAACATAATGAAGGGATTTATTAAAATTACTGCAGATCAAAATTTAAAAAAAAAATATAATCCTAGTATATATAAGAACTATTTAGTTTTCAACACATTACACAACAGAACAGAACGGCGATATATGTTTCCAATTAAATTTTGAATGATGTTACCGAATCAAGATCCCAGTTTCGCATGCAATATAAATATATCCGTAGGTAATAAAGGATATTTATAGAATGATAACCAAAACACTATCGAAGGAAATGAAACAAAGAACGATTTTATAAATTATAATTTATTTGACCATTACAAGTTCCTAGAGCCTATGTTATTAACATACGCTAACTATCAGTCGAATTCCGTTCGCTAATGCTATAATGCTCTTTGTCTGGCAAAGTGTTGAAGGCTAAACGCTAATTTAGTTTATTCATAATGAATAGTGTGATAATTATTATTAGTTCAGGGGTGGGTGTTGTAGCAAGAAGTAAAAACTTGTAAATATTAGGAGTGTATTTAATATCTCAATGAATATAATATGAAGCTTTAAGGTTACCTTTATCTTTTTAAACTGTGTGAATATTAATTGTAATACATTTCTGCTGCCATGTCCCTACGTAACTTTTGTTAGGAGGTATAAATTTCAAAACTTTACTGTGAGTGTATTTCTCTTACAAACCGAAAATCATTCATACGGGGAAGACAATCAGCATTGCATTTGCTGTGATTACTTTTTAGTGATGAATGGAATCAAACAATCTAGTGACCACCACGGTCACTACTCACGACTGAATAATGTAAATACTTGAAGTTGTTTTATATGAAATAAAATTAGTTTTTATACTTTCTTGCTTTTTATTTACTACATTAAATTAAAACCTATTGCTTATTGAGTGCCTTAAATGTTTACGAACTCATATGATAACCATTGTCACATATATAATATAAAACTAAAAAAATAATGTTACAATCGACTTAAAACTATTTAAAACCTAGGTACTACATAATCGTACAGCGGATAAAAGTCGCAATAAATAATACAAACTCTACAATATTTGTAAAGCAAAGATTAGCTAGTCTACGCGGGTTTTTCATAAACTTTTCGTAATAATTCACTACAGAATAAAATTAAATCCTTTGTATCAAACCTGTTACACAAATAATTTTGTATAACTGATAACTGATTATTATTATCTTCAGAAGGGCCGAGTGTACGATGATGTTCCAATAACATGCTTATTGTGTCAAAGGAATTGGTTATAGTTATTTTCTTTAATAACATCTTTGTAACATTGTCAAGGGACATATTATGGGCAATCTCCTGCTTAGAAGTTTCGTCAAGTTGCTTACTTAGCCTGCTTACAAAGTCAGGTCTCTGAAAAGATGGAAACACGTTAGTTACTTTTGGATACATTAATTATAAACAAGTGCTGCAAAACCTTACACTAACACTTCTATTCACAAATATCACTCTGAGGTCGCAAAGTGCGCACAATGAACAGCAAATGTATCATAAACAAAACTTAGGGACGATCAACGCGCGTTATGCGTTCGTTAGCGTAACGTAACATACGGAGTAGCTCGCTAGCTACTCTACGCATAGAGCGACAAATCATAAATGTCAAGAGTTTTGGCGGGAACTTGACCGTCGACAGATTGTTGGTCCTATTTTATCCTTTAAATAATGGTTTGAAGTGGATTTTGATACGTAAATGTGATACAATTTTGTGTATTACTTGTCTGCACATGTGAACTATTAAAGAAAACGACGAAACAAGTGCTTCGATATTGATATAAACCTCAAGTTATTTTATTCTCTAAGGCGCCTTATGAACTCGAGTGACTGTCGTCATAGACTCTCCGCTCGGTTGAGCTGTCGTCAAAAGCTCCCAAAAACTTCACAGTGTTGCATATAGTGAGTGTAGAAAACCCTTTTTACTGGAAATGAGGTTTTCCAGCTTAGTCCTCACGAGTGACAAAGCATGTGCATTTTGATTCTTAATCGAGGATTTACGTAGACGTCTATGGGTCACAGCATTCCCTTACCATCAGGTGGACTGTGTGCTCATTTGTTACCCTTATTCTATAAAAAAAATATGTAGCTGGTATTCTGTAAGTTTGGTCCTTCCCAGTAGAGCTGACCCTTTTGTGCTACAACTACATTATAGCTGTTGCATGACTCTATTGTGGTAGCTCAGAGTCTAAGCGCTTGCTGCAAATTTCACAGTACGCGAGCAACCTGGGTTCGATCCACGCCGGCACCAATGAAATTGTTAATTGCAATTTTAAGTGCTGATTTACCACGTGCTCGGCAGTGGAGGAAAACATCGTGAGGAAACCGACATGTCTGAGAAATAAGAAAAAAATATTTCGAAGACGTGTGAAGTTCGCCAAACACGCATTGGGGCAGCGCGGCGGAGATTTCCTTGCCCTAAAATCCTCTCAGAGATGAGAGGAGGCCTGTGCCCAGTAGTGGGACGTATATTGGCTGTAACTTAAACTTTTATGACTCTACCATGCAATGTGTGCTCGTTTGTCACCTTTATTCTATAATAAAAAAGTTAGGGTTGTTTTGCCTTGATTTTTGCATCACTTGTACACAACAGACAGTTCATTCTTTCTTTGGTCTAAGTTTACTTACTATACTTTACTTGCTTTTGACATATTACACTTTCTGGCATTCTGCATTAATTTCCAGAATCAATAAAAAACGCATGACTTTTCATAAAATAGGTTGCCAATCTGCTATAATAAATAACAAGTTTATAAAGTTACTCCTATTTCAAGTTGATGCAAATATTTTAGTAATAGTTTCAAAATTTGATATAGATACAAAAAATATTGCACCTCACCTCTTTTAAAGATGATGTAATTAAACTGGATGTGGACATCTCTCCAGATTCATTAGTTTGTGCGGCAATATTATGAGTTAATACATTATCTGTTTGTGTAGATGCTGGAGTCACCAACAGTGCTTCTGTTAGCAACTCACTATTTTTTGACACCTCATCTGTTTGTATTTGATTATCACATTCATTAAATTTCAAATCCATTGTTTGATCTTTTTCATGGACTTCATTGGTTAATTCTACTTGATCCAACATTTCTATTTTGGAAGCATAATCAGATAACACTCTTTTTGCTACTTGAACTTTAGGAGCCTTAATACATAATCTATTTACTTCTAATTCTGTCATTTTTGCTAAGTCCCCAACCGTTTCCACCTTTCCCTCGAATTCTCTTATTAGTAATAATTTCATAGCAGGGGATGACAGTTCTGTTGCAATGTTATCAATTGGATCCTTGCAATTAACGAGTGCTGGACAAATAGGGTCTGTGTCATTTAAGTCAGTCGTTCTAAGAACCTCTGCTACAGGTGTTTGTTCAAGAGAACTCATTTCGCTGTCATCAACATTTGTCATATTTTTGTCATTTTCAACAAAACTTTCCACAGTTTTCGTCAGCACATTTTCTAACTTAAATACACTATCAAGTCTTTTTGGTGATTTCATATTAGTCGGAGCTCGTATCTGTCTTTCCTGGCGTTTTAAAGCAGAATTCTGAGGTGAACGAATGCCACTTGGTTCTATGTACTTTTTAACGCAAATAGTTGTGGATACAGGTGGGTCGTGAAAACTAACTCTTTTTCTCTGGAATACATAAAATTAAAAGCTATTAATAAAGTAAGAGCTCAAAAGGAATTATTTGAAGGAGATAAAAAATCTTACTTTAGATGCGGGAGAAACGGTTGCCTCATCAATGATGTCAGCGAGCTTCCTTTTCAATATAGGACCAGAAGGACTAATGTCTGCTGTAGGAAGGGAACGCTTGAACTTCAGAAAATAGTCACTGTCTTCATTTTCATCACACGATTCATTGTTTTCATTGGTGGAATTATATAATATTCGTAAATTGCGCTTGGCTGACGTATTCATAGCCATGGATTTTTTATTCTCCTCAGGCTCTGTAGATTTTTCTGGGTTAATTATGGTCTGTAGCCTATCAGGTACACACAAGCCTAGCATCTGCGCTGCTCTGCCACTAGGTCTTACTTGCGGTCGATTTTTCTTTAAGGATAGGGAAGAGCTAGGACTCGAATTATTAATTATAAATTCTTCCCTTGGAGGTGATTGATCTCTTTTGTCAGGGGATAATTTATCATTTGAGAATATTTCGGGTGAGTCAGATTTATCAAATGGTTCTCCATTACTTTGAACAGGAGATGATAATGTTATAACTACAAAATCACTGCTAGTTTCGGGAGGTGATTGTTTTTCTTCTTGTTGTACAGGACTCATTGTTTTAATGGGCGATATCTCCAGTGTGTTATTCATAAAATCTTGTTTTCTTTGTGCTTCATCCTTGAAAGGAGAAGAATCTGTATTAACATCTTTTGATTGAGAATTTGCCGATGGTTCAATTATTGTTTGTGTAGTTTCCAAACTTTGTGTAGTTGCATTTTGAGTATCATTATCCTCGCTATAGCTTTTTTCAGATACTGTAGTACATTGGTCGATAGCAGATGAGACAGGTAATTTGCTAGAGCTGATATCTTCAAGTAACAAAGCTGGATCTAGTGATTCAGTATCAGCATTAGCTGTGTCGCGTGTACTTGAATCTGTGTAAGTGTCGTCAGTGTTGATAACAATCGGTGGGTCATCATCTATAATTTCTATGACTTCTCCTGAACTAGAGTTGTATTCAGCGGGTTCCGTGTCCATATTTTCAGTTAATTCTAAATCAATTTTTTCTTCAACTGCTGTTTTATTGCAGGGTAGTTCAATGTCAGTGTTATTTTGTGAGGTTGAGGATTTATTATTCTCTATTACACTTGTGTCTGTATTTTCATGTGAAGAAATTTCTTTATCTTGAAGCACTTTTAACCCTTTGGGAATTTCTTTTATATTTTCCAAAGTTACCATGGGTATTTTTTTTGTTAATATTTTTGCAGGTTTTGCTGATATAGTCGATATAGTTGAAATAGTAGAATCTTGAGAACTTTCAATTACATCTTGAGACTGAGATGAAGAAAAATCTTCTAATGAATCGTTTTGTTTTTCGTTACTTGTTTTGTCGGACTTATCCTTATCTTTCATTTTTTTGTCAGATTTTGATGAACTTTTGTCAGTTTTCAACTTATTCAATTTTTCTACCAAACTTTTTCTCTTTTTTACAGTAGGTGAAGTATCCATAACATATTTTCTCGTTAACCGCTTTTCTGACTGCATTTTCAAAAATGGATGTCCCTCAACCATATCAATAGCTAATTCTTTTTCTATACGAGATTTTCTTTTACCACATTTTTTGGAACTTGATTTTGACGATATTTCGACTTTGTTTGCATTATTTGGCGTCAACGAATTTTTGTCATCACTTACATTACAGGAGTCCGTTTCACTTACAGTTTCAAGTGTACATGAAAGATCACTAGATGTAGAAGGAATGTTTGTCTCGCCATTTTCCAAATTTTCAGTTTTCTTTTTCGTCTCAACGTTGACTTTGACATTTGTACTTTCATCTTGGATTTGAGATGATTCTGAATTTTTGGTCTGGCCTTGAGATACATTATTATCAGAGTTGTGTGTTACCTCAGTATTACCGTTTACATTTTTCTCGAAGCCCTGTATAGCACTTTCAATTACTTTTGCTTCAGAATGCGGTTCGCTGTCATTTTCACTAGACATCGGAGAATCATTTCGGCTTACTGAATTTCTTTGTTTCTTACGGGACAATAAGTTGAGATCATCAAATTTCTTTGGCATTCTCTTTACTCGAGAGGGTCTTTCAGAAGTTATTTCTGGAGGTGCGGAATTAACAATATTAGTATTAAAATTTTGCTTCGGCGGCGGGGTTTTTAGAAAATTATCACTGACGGTGGAATTTAATTCACCTACGTCTTTTTGCATACCGGATTTTTCTATCAAATTTCGGACATTTCTACATACTCTATCTTTTAAATTAACTCGAGGTGACTTAGGGCTTTTAATATCTAGTTGTTTCTGATCATTATTAGGATTATTTTCTATTATTTCTCTGTTTATATTATCTGGATTAGCGTTTTTAACACATTCTGTTAAAATATTCTCAATTATTTGGGGTACGACACTGGAACATGGCATGTTTTTTAATATTAATGAGGTTTCTTCTTTTTCTGTGGTGTTAGATTTGCTGCTACTTGTGGAGTCAACTGAATTTGTTCTAAAAGCTCTTTTAAACTCATCCTGAGATTGAGACAAATCTTGATACAAAGCAGGTATATCTTCTCTCTTTCTTTGTAACTTTTCCTTTTGATTGTCAGTTAACTTTTTTGGATTAAACTTCCAATTTGACTGCACAACAACATATTCTTCTCCATTCTCAACAACCGTATCAATAATGGTTGATTCCTTTTTCTTTCCTTTCTTAGTAACTGGTTTAACCACTGGTGCAGTAAACTTGTTATGATCGTCTGAACTCAAATTTGAGACACTTACTTTATTTTCATGTAATTTTTGATCACCAGGTGGCGGCACACTGGTATTTAAAATAGCTGCAGGTTGACTTTTATTTAATTTTTGGTTTAAAATATTGTTTACGGTCGTAAGTACACTTTTCTCTACACTATTATGTTTTAGATAAGGCATGAACTTTTTTAACTCGTCCAATATTATTGACTTAAGGTTAGTATAATCTTCTTTACGAAATAATAAATCCATGGGCTCGAAAATTTTAACAACAATATTTAATATTTGATTGTCCTGAAACAAAAACGTATTTTTTGTAAGTATAATAATTATTACATATATAAACTATAATTAACTATAACTATAAAGTCCACAGCTCGCTCGACAGGTGGATTGACGATTGCAGTCCAGACGTCTTGAATTTTTTAACCAAAAATTTTCATTGTACTTTCTTTTTATAATAACACTTATTGCAAAATTTAATTAAGGCATCCGGCTTATTCATTTGTGTTCTCTCTTACTACCTCACGTTCGAATTTACAATAAAGAAGCATAATCAATAAAGATATCTGTATAGTTTTTGAAATACCTTATTATTTAGAATACCTGGCAGCAGTTACTGAGTTTGAAACAATATAAATCGCAAAGATTTGTTTAAAATCACAAATTGTTGTCACAACAGGTCTGTCTGTTGTATCATATCTAGGTAAGCTAGTTAATAGTTAACTTAGGATAGGCGAGTGTTTCGTATTAACGCATATATTTATGTTACTGTATCGATAGCTTCCGACTGTCATCACTTTGATCTAAAAACCATCACAATGATATCATACTTACATTTTCACTTTGTTGCTTGTAGTATCTTGATATTATTTTCAAAAGATTATTAATCATCAATATGGTTGTTTCAGCCAATTTCGTATCCGTTACTTTATTAACTTTGTTAAGTAACAAAATTAAAATGTTCATGAAAAATGGAAGATCATGTTCAACATATAGGTAATCCATTCCGTTAGTAACATACTGGAGTGTCTCAGCGATCTTGAAAATGAGATTTTCTAAAAGTGTTAAATTATAATAGTTTAATAATCTATATATTGCCTTTTGTTCTCGAATATTTACTTCTGTGATTTGAAATTCAATTAACAATCCAAAAAATGTATTGACATTACAAATATTTTCAAATTAAATATTGTTAAGTAAAAAAAGAGTTGCAAGTGATTAAATAGATAATTACAAATAATTATTAATTTATTTGTATGAAATATAAAGTATCGGCTGTAACTGCTACAGCATAGTCCACTGCTGAGCATATGCCTCTTTCATAGATTGCCTTCTAGGGGGGAATTTGCTTTAGTTGCCCTGCTTGGCAAGCATTTTAGCAACAGTAGTTTTATTTTTATTTAGTTGTTATTAAGAATACACTGCTGCCCATCTCCTGACTAAAGATATTAATATTTAATTCGCAACCATCCGCTCAATTAAATAGAATGATGTGTCTCACCTGGATTGAAGAACTTGTTTCAAAAAAGAATGAAGAAAATAATTGTAGAATCTACATCACCTGAAGATGCCTCGTGTAGAGGCGAAACACGTGTCGTATTATCTTCGATGGTGAGTGTTTCCTGGAATAGTGGTGTTGGGAGTAGTGGTGCCGCGAGGATTAGTGCACGCAATTGAGGGAGGGCGGGAGGTGCTCTTCAATCCAGGTGAGACACATCATTGTATTTAATTGAGCGGATGGTTGCGAATTAAATATTAATATCTTTATTATAATGAATTTCTGTAAAGTAACGCCTGATTCTATCAATTATAATCTCCTGATTTGTTTCCATCTGTCGTCTATTACGACACCCATGGGATGTACAGTGATATTACGCTAGGCTTGAGACATCCGAAAAAACAAATATTCTTCAAATATTATGCCAACCCCTTTTTGAATTTTAACCCTTCAACACCCATAAAAATCTCATGCAGATGCATGCGTCCGGCAAATTCCGAGCGGTCGCATGTGACCGCACCCACCCGCAGCACTTAAAACCATTAAAACTTGTATTTAGTGACTACTTTTCTATGAAGAAGTTTGGCATTATAAAATCTCTACAAAATTCTCTATATAAAAAGCCAGGTTTTACTTCATTACAAATGGACTATTGTATTTTGATAACAAGAAAAAAACGTACCAAGTAAATGTCGACAGCGTGAAAATCACAATTATTTCAATATATATTACTCAAAATTGCCGTGTAGTGGCGGTTAAGAATATCCACTACCCCATATCTTCCCGTGGGTGTCGTAAGAGGCGACAGAGGGAGACAGACAGGAGATGGGCAGCAGCATCTTCCTGATAACAGCAACTGTACGACAAAAAAAAAACTGCGGTTGCCAACCCGCTCGCCAAGCGTGGCAACTATGGCAATATACCCCCCATGAACAATTACACAAATAGACGGCCCCCAGTCCCCGGCGGCCCCGCTATTCCTGGCTACGTTGGCGACCATGGTAACGGCGGGGCAGGGGGTGCTAAGAATCTCCGGTGGAGGTTCGGTTGCCACCTACGACGACTCGACCTGGCAACATTTAACGCACGCACACTGAGGACTGACGAGAAGATCCTGGAGCTGGAAGAAGAGATAGACAAGTTGCGCTGGAGTATTATAGGATTATCCGAGGTCCGAAGAGAGGGGGAGGACACGGTGATTCTCGAATCCGGCAACTTGTTCTATCACCGGGAGGGCGACCATCTGTCCCAAGGAGGTGTCGGATTTATCGTCCACAAGTCTCTCGTCAACAACGTTGTACAGATTGAGAGTGTGTCGACGAGGGTCGCGTACCTGATACTCAGAATCACCAAACGGTATTCGCTGAAGGTCATACAGGTTTACGCACCAACGTCGGCACATTCCGATGAGGAGGTGGAGGAAATGTATGAGGATATTTCCAAAGCCATACATTCCTCCAAAACCCACTACACGGTGTTGATGGGAGACTTCAACGCAAAACTAGGCACAAGAGAAAACGGTGAGCTGAAGTTAGGGAAATTTGGAGTAGGGCAACGGAACCGAAGGGGCCAGCAGCTGGCCGACTTTATGGAGAAAGAGGGACTCTTTATGATGAACTCTTTCTTCCAGAAGCGGCCCCACAGGAAGTGGACCTGGTCGAGCCCCGACGGTTCGACAAAAAATGAGATTGACTTCATTATGACGACCAGACGCCAACTGTTCAGTGATGTCTCAGTGATCGCAAGGGTGAAAACTGGCAGCGATCACCGAATGGTTAGAGGCACACTGAACCTAAACGTTAAGTTGGAGAGGTCTCGTCTAATGAAGTCAACGCTCCGTCCCCCTCGTGCTCTGATCCAAAATCCCGAAAACTTTCAGCTCGAGTTACACAACCGCTTTCAGTGCCTACAAGATTGCAATGCAGTGGACGATATGAATGACAAGCTCGTGGAAACTGTCCATGCGGTCGGAGCTAAGTTCTGCAAGACCCGCCGCAGAAGAACACAAAAACTCTCCGATCACACTCTTAATCTCATGGCTGTTAGACGGGAGATGAGGCTGCAATCGTCAACAGATTTGACAGCATACAGGCAACTGAACAGACAGATCTCCAAATGCATACGGCGAGACTTACGCAACTTTAATACTGCTCGTATTAAAGAAGCGATCGAGCGGAACCAGGGCTCCAAAGTCTTTGCCAGAGATCTGTCTGCCAGAAAGAGCCAACTGTCAAGGCTGAAGACTGAGTGTGGCAGCATCGTTTCCGGGACACCTGAGATTTTGAGTGAGATTGAGAGGTTCTATGGGCAGCTGTACACATCATCGTTGGAGCCACACGCAAGTGTGAGTAACGATCCAAGAGCAAGTCTTATCCGACACTATTCCGATGATATCCCGGACGTCAGTCTAAGCGAGATTAGAATGGCTCTCCAGCACCTTAAAAACGGCAGGGCCCCAGGCGAGGATGGAATTACAGCGGAGCTTCTGAAAGCGGGTGGAACACCGGTACTTGAAGTCCTTCAGAAGCTCTTCAATTCCGTCCTCCATGGTGGCACTACTCCGGAGGCGTGGAGCAGAAGTGCGGTGGTCTTGTTCTTTAAGAAAGGCGACAACGCTCTCTTGAAGAACTACAGACCGATTTCCCTTCTGAGCCGCGTCTACGTGCTGTTTTCGAGAGTCATTACGAATCGTCTCGCACGCAGACTCGACGACTTCCAGCCTCCCGAACAAGCCGGTTTCCGAAAAGGCTTCAGTACCATAGACCACATACATACCCTGCGGCAATTTGTACAGAAGACTGAAGAGTACAATTTGCCACTTTGCCTGGCGTATGTGGACTATGAGAAAGCCTTTGATTCCGTCGAAATTTGGGCGGTGCTGCAGTCCCTTCAGCGGTGCCAAGTTGACTGTCGGTATATCGAAGTGCTGAAGTGTTTGTACAGTAGGGCTACGATGGCTATCCGAGTACAGAACCAGAGCTCGAAACCTATCCAACTGCAGAGAGGTGTAAGACAGGGTGACGTTATATCCCCGAAACTCTTCACCGCTGCTTTGGAAGACGTTTTCAAGCTACTGGACTGGAAAGGATACGGTATTAACATCAATGGCGAGTACATCACTCAGCTTCTATTTACCGACGATATAGTCCTTATGGCAGAATCGCTGAAGGACCTGTTGGGAGACACCATTGAGGTCATTGAGCACTATGCTCAATGACCTCAATGGTGTCTCCCAACGGATAGGTCTTAAGATGAACATGGACAAAACAAAGATTATGTTTAATGTCCATGTCACACCTATGCCGGTAGTTGTTGGAAGCACTATGCTCGAAGTTGTTGACGAGTATGTTTACCTGGGACAAATATTCCGACTAGGTAAGTCCAACTTCGACCGAGAGGTCAATCGACGGATTCAACTCGGCTGGGCAGCGTTCGGGAAATTACGACATATCTTCTCGTCAGGTATACCTCAATCTCTGAAAACTAAAGTGTACAACCAGTGCGTGTTGCCAGTGATGACTTACGGATCAGAGACGTGGTCCTTCACTGCTGGCCGTATGAGGACGCTCAAGGTCGCTCAGCGAGCTATGGAGAGGGCTATGCTCGGAGTTTCTCTGCGTGATAGACTCAGAAATGAGGATATCCGCAGTAAAACCAGATTGACCGACATAGCCCAACGGATTAGTAAGCTGAAGTGGCAATGGGCCGGCCATATAGCTCGAAGAACCGATAACCGATGGGGAAGAAAGGTTCTCGAGTGGCAGCCTCGTACCGGTAGGCGTAGTGTAGGGCGACCCCCCACTAGATGGAGTGACGACCTGGTAAGATATGCAGGAAGTCGATGGATGCAGGTGGCTCAGGACCGTGCTTTGTGGCATTACTTGGGGGAGGCCTATGTTCAGCAGTGGACTTGTGAAGGGCTGTGATGATGATGATGATGATGATACTCAAAATTATTTACGTAAAAAGATAAATTACATTCACACAAAAACTCTCATTGTAATGAATTTTATAATAAATATTTATAATAAACAGAGTTGCGTTATAACCCTGATACTCTTTACCGATGCATTAAAAGATGTTTTCATGCTACTAGACTGGAAAGGATATGGTATCAACTTAAATATCAAAGTTTCTGACTACCATTTTTCAACTGACTTCAAAAAAGGAGGACTTTCTCAATTCGACTGTATTATTTTTTGTATTACCATGAAACTTTTGTTTGATGAACCGATTTCGATGATTTGAAAGCTGGTGATTCCCATGTGGTCCAATATAAATTTGATCAACTCTGACCAGTAGTTTTTGAGTTATCTTTAATAATGCGTATTTAACTGACTTTGACCACATTGATGATGTTCTCATTTTATTTGTATTGAAGTCAGTGGTACAATTTTTTTTAATTTTACCACTTGTTATTTATTGTTGTACATGGGAAAATGCCAGACTCTGTTATGTCAGACTCGCACCTACTTAGACCCCATGGTGTTCCATCTTTATATGTATACATATAAATACAATTCTGTAGTTGTAATAACTAGTTTTTATCAAGCGCAGGGGAGGGGGTATTTAAATGCCTTTAAGACATAAATAACCATTTTTAAGTTTTTTTCTTGTCTACCTGATGGAGTCGCTAGTCTTCGGAGTAACTTTTTTTTTTTTTTTTTTTTTTTATAGAAGAGGGGGCAAACGAGCATGTGGCTCACCTGATGTTAAGTGACTACCGCCGCCCATGATCAACCGCAACACCAGGGGAATTGCAGGTGCGTTGCCGGCCCTTTAGAAAGGAGTAAGCTCTTTTCTTGAAGGTCCCCAGGTCGTATCGGTCCGGAAAAATCACCGGTGGTAAATTATTCCACAGGGAGGTTGTACGCGGAAGAAAACTCCTTTTGAAACGTACAGTGGTGGACCGCCAAGCATCCAGATGGTGTGGATGGTATCGGGACGTTTGCCGTGTAGTGCGTTCACGAAATTTGGCGGCTGGGATTAATCCGAACAATTCCTCAGAGCACTCCCCGTGATAGATGCGATAAAATACGCAAAGAGATGCAACATCTCTTCGCAGCGCCAGTGAATCGAGCCGATCGGAAAGCACTCGGTCGTCAACGATTCGAGCCGCTCTGCGCTGGATGCGGTCAAGTGGAAGGAGCTGGTACTGGGGAGCCCCAGCCCAGAGATGGGAACAGTATTCCATGAGCGGCCGAACCTGCGCCTTGTAAAGTTGCAGGCGGTGTGCCGGCATGAAATACTGTCCCGCTCTGCTGAGCACGCCAAGCTTTTTAGAGGCCAATTTGGCCTTCCCTTCCAAGTGACCACGAAACTGCACGTCACTCGATATGTCGACGCCGAGGATTCCGATACTGGCTGAGGCAACAAGGGGAGTGCCTTGAAACTGAGGGGATACGACAAAGGGGTTCTTTTTAGCGGTTAACGCGCAAACTTGTGTCTTCTGGGGGTTAAACTGGACTAGATTTAGTCGCCCCCAATCCGAGACTCTGTCCAGCAGAGACTCGACTTCAGACACAAGTTTGTCCCGGCACTCAGAGACGTTTTCCCGAGAAATATTGGCTCGGCCGGTGTAAAGAGCATCACCAGTGCTGTCATCTGCATAGCAATGAATGCTACGGGTTTGCAACATATCATTGATATGCAGAAGAAACAGCGTTGGCGATAGCACGCAGCCCTGTGGAACACCAGCATTAATAAGCTTGCAATCGGAGCTTGCACCGTCTACAACGACCTTGATGCTCCGATCTGCAAGAAAACTGGTGATCCAATCGCACAATTTCTCGGGAAGCCCATAGGAAGGGAGCTTCGAAAGAAGCGCTTTGTGCCAAACCCGATCGAAGGCCTTCGCAATGTCCAAACTAACGGCCAATGCCTCCCCCTTGGACTCTACTGCCTCCGCCCATCTGTGAGTTAGGTAGACCAAAAGATCACCAGCTGACCTACCACGGCGAAAACCGTATTGGCGGTCACTAATCAGCTGGTGATCCTCAAGGTACCTCATGAGCTGGCAGTTTACAATGGACTCCATTGTTTTGGAGAACAAGGAGGTGATGGCGATAGGCCGGTAGTTGGACGGGTCTGAGCGGTCGCCTTTTTTAGGGATCGGGTGGACGAAAGCCGTCTTCCATGATTTTGGGACTACGCCTAGGGAGTAGGAGTACCGGAAAAGACGCGTTAAAACCGGTGCCAACTCTGGAGCACACGTCCTTAGCACAATTGGGGGGATTCCATCAGGCCCACTCGACTTATGGATGTCCAGGGAGAGGAGTGCTTTGCGAACCGAGCGCTGAGTGAACTGCACTTCCGGCATGGAGCACTCACACCGCGGGATGGTCGGCGGCGTACTCCCCCCGTCATCGAGAGTCGAGTTAGACGCAAAGAAAGAGCCTAGAAGATCGGCTTTCTCCTTTGCGGTGTGGGCCAGTGAGTCGTCCTCCCTGTGCAGAGATGGAAGAGATGGCTGACAGAAATTCCCTTGGACAGCCTTGGCGAGAGACCAGAATGCACGGGTTCCAGAAGGAAGACGAACTAGTCTCTCGCCAATTCTGCCTATGTGCTCTGACTTTGCCTTGGCAATGACTCTTTTGAAGGACCTAGAGGCGGAATTATACTTCTTTTTTAGAGCGCTGGTGTTTACATCCAATTCCATCCATCCAATGTCAATTGTGATGAAACTTTACGATCTGTTCGTAAATTTCAGAAGTTACAGAACTGACGAGAACAGATTAAAGAAAAATCAAAATTGATAAAATAAATGGTGTTTGATTATTTAAAATCTAAATAACGCTACATTAATAGATTCTATCCGAGTCAAACTGGGGCGGGTCGCTACTTATCAATAAAATTCACAAGGCTTCATTGCAACTTGTTAAACTTTAAAGCCACTCTCCTGAAATTTAAAAATTCCTGTAATTAGCATGTATGTCTTCTAGACCATCGATTTAAAACTTACCATTTTCACTTGCTATTCTATTTTTTAAAATGGCCAATGAAGCTTTGAATATAAAACATTTATTTGCCGCGCTTGTAAAATTACGATCAGAAGTCATTTCAGATATATCTTCGTCAATGGAAGTGGTGTTTAATTTACTATTTCCATAATTGTATAACAAAAACCATGCCGAAACAGATATTTCCACCTGTACAAAGGAAATATTTTATATTTTAAATAAAAAAAATATTAAAAACATTAAATATCAACTCTTAGAAGATTTTCAAACAACTATTTTAAAAAATCTGAGGGATAATTTCAACTGAAATGGAGATGAGATGTGTATTTTCATATAAGTTTCAGAAGTAACAGACTTAAACATCAAAACATTTATAAATCAAAGTCAAATTCAAAACAAGGACTAAAAACTTCTAGAATACATAATCATCATAAGCAATGATGAAATGATTTAAAAAATTTAACAATGACACATCTGTAGTACCTTAAAGTATTAATTGACTTTCACGAGCAACCCAATTTCAATTTTAAAAGACCCTACTTTTAATTCTAGTAATGACATAACCCCTTATTACCCCTATATGAAGGGGTTTATAATCCCTTAGAAAGCAATTTTATTCATCATCAGTTCATAACTGCTGGCATAAAAGCTGTTTTGTTTTGCATCTGATACTGTATCAAGTGAGTATGTTGGATGAGTTTGCTGCGAGGTTACTGCCAGCCGCTTGTTGATGGTTCGCAGCGGGCACACATACTGACAAATTATTGTAAATGGCAATGCGACCAAATGTATAGCGAGCATGTCGATGTAAACTTCGATTGAATAAACAATTGATCAAACAATTGTTCCACATTATGAGACCCTAAAAAAGACCGCAACTACTATTACAACAAATTAGAAAAAAAACTATATGTATAGGAAGGTATTGGCCAGGCCATGGGGCATGAGTAAACTCATCAAAAGCTTAAAAAATAACATAATTATTCAATTTTTTTTTAGATAGAAGCACACGTCCACCTGATGGTAAGTGGTTCTTCCTATTATTTCTAAATATGTCACTTGAGATAAGATGGAATCTTTTAAGGGCTTTCTGTATACTATCTCTCTTCACGTATCTCATATTATCATCGCTTATAGATTGATAGAGTATCAGATACATTATATTCTACGCTAAGTGAGTATCCTACTTATCATTTTATGGCAGTATTGCCTTTAAATAAAAATTAATAATCACAAAATTCTTACCGATGTAAACAAACTCATTGACTTCAAAGGCAACAATAGCATGTTGCGCAACATCTCAATATTAGTGTCACATTTCAATTTGCAAATGGATTCAGACAATGCAGTCCATAGCATTAGGCTGTTATTTTTGACTAATGGTTTCTTTAAATAGCCCTCTATTACTTGATTTAAATATTCATCAGCAATGAAGTTTGTTAATGGTTTGATTTTCGTAACAATTTCTTTGGCATCATATCTGAAAAGTTTTAAAATTTAAATCTGTTAGTGGTTTCTCTAACTATATGAACTTTACTATTGATTTAATTTAAAAACTATGCTGCTTTTTATGTTAGTAACAGAAAGGCAATAAGCAATTATTATTTATTTTGCCATTATAATTACAGCCCTTCACAAGTCCACAGCCTATTTTTTTTATAGAATAAGAGATGTTCCTGAGGCCTGATCATAGGCCTCCCCAAAGATAGTCTTGACCTGCATCCATCAACTTCTTTTGCAGAAATATGTGACGAGAAGTTGTGTCGTAATCTCCTGAACGCTGCCCAGCAGATTGATCCCTTGACAGGTTAGACTTACTTTTTTGGACAGTTTGTCCTTGATAAACATACTTAAGACCTTTTGAAAAAAGGGATGATAAAGAAGTACACAGACCACCTGATGATAGGTGGACTTTGTAGCCCATAGGCTCCTACATCTGTTCTCAATTAAGAATCAAAATATAAATGTGTTGTCACCTTCAGGACTAAGATCAGACCAGTAAAAAGGTTCTTCGATTCTCTACACTCACCATACAAAATACAGCAGTATTAAGTTGCTATATTACACAGGTATTCTGTCATGAGTGTAGTCCTTCCCTAGTCAAGCTGACCCATTTGTTACTGTAACTTTAATATGGCTGCAGCAAGGCTCTACCTCGTTATTAAATGTTTACTATTTAAAAATAAAAAAACTACTATGTTGAATGAACCATCATTCACACTTTTTCTAAGAATCCTCTGTTTAATATTCTGAAAACAGAGGAAAAAACAGAAGTAGCATTTCTTACCCTTAGTAAAAAATTATATATTTTTGTACATATTTATAAATAAACAATTCATTTTAATCATGTTTAATTCATCAATATGGATATAATAATGCAAATTGTACCTTGTGAAAACATAGTCAAGTTTAGGATTCAAAATTAAATTGAGAATTTTATGGATGGGGTTGTTTTCTTCATTTTCTGCCTTGAACAAAGGTTGAACCTTTTCATTGTGGTCAAGTAACGAATATGTCACTACATTAAAGATTAAGTCTGCAAGCTTGTCACAGCGTGGGCTCTAAAAAGAAATAACTTTGTGATACATTTATAATATAGAGTAGCTATAAAATATTTACATTAACAATTATTAAACATACCTGTAGTAGTACCTCTAGTACCGTCAATAGTTCAATAAATAAATTATGCCTAATATTGCTGTCGGATACTTCAGCAATAGTTGCAACAAATGATTTCCAAATACATTTGAAGTGTTGAGTGGCAGAATCGCTATTATCATTGACGCATATCCTTATCGTCATAGTTAATGAGTTCACCCAAGTTTTCCAATGACTAACTAACAATTTACTAGTGAGTATTTTACTGTTTAGTTTAGCAATGTTCACAGTACAGTCGCAATTAACATGACCTGCAATGTTGGCAAATGCTTGCAAGACTTGCCTTTTTGTATTAATTGTAAGCAATCCAGGAGCAAACACTGGTTTCTCGGTCACTGTTGATTTGCCAAAGCAAAAATGTAGGAAAGGAAGAAGAACTGTATCAGAGAACTTTTCAATTTTTGTTTCAAATTGTCTTATTAAATGCCACCAAGTATTAAGCTTAGCTAAAGCAGTCTCTTCAAATTTTGCATTGTTGGACGTCAGTGGAATTATAAGTAACTTAAGTCTTTTATTTATGTAAACTTCATTGGTTTCAGTAGAAAAGTTGTCTATCAAAACATTCCAGCATAAAAATGCTCTACACCTATTTTTTACATTCATTTTAAATGCTGTTTCTACAACTGGCAACATTGAGTTAATAGGACTTCCAACAGAATTATTGGTCTTGGTAATCTGATTCTTAAGTAATTTAATAAAAATCATCCATAATCGGCACCATACATCACTGCCTTCTTCTAAAAGATTCTTCATGATTGCTGGGTACCTTGAATATTTTATTTAAATAGTTATTTTGGGTGGTTTTCGTTACTAGAAAATTTGCACAATCTGTTATAAAAGCATATTTATTTGTCATTATGTGCAATGTTGCATACAACCTGTACAAATAAATAAAATTGAAGTGTCCCTTTGTATCGTAGACAGAGAAACCTATAGACAAATTGACGCCATCATTTGCTTTCGCACACGAAAAAGACAGATTTATGCATATGTCTTGCATAGAAATGAGACAGAGTGGTGTAATTGTTTGTCCCTTTCTCCGTGCAGGGTTTTTTGTTTAGCAAACTACACTTTGCTAAATAACTTTAGACAGTTCGTAGCGATCTAAGGAGTTTAAAAGTTGGTTTAAGTGAGAAAAAAGTGTTTTGTGAGCTTAAGATTGGTGAATCTTGTTCAGTTCAGTTCTTAGAACAATTAAAAATTTTATCCAAATATGTTTAAAGGTCATAAAGATTATTGTATAACCCAAAACTACGTTATCATCCTTTCTCACTTAGTAGTAGTAGTAGTCACACGCTAATCATTAGTCTATAGGTTTCTCTGTCTACGCTTTGTAATGTCAAAATAACAGCTTTTTACTCAATGCAGATGAAAGTATATACAGTAGTTATAAGAAAAAAAACATTTTTAAAAATTTTGTCTGTCTGTCTGTTTGTTCTGGCTAATCTATGAAATGGCTCTACTGGTTTTGACGGGAATTATACTTGCAGATAGCTGATGTTATATGGAGTAACTTGTAGTTTATTTTAGAAAAGGAATTAGGGTTCTGCACAAATAAAATTAAAATTATGACACCAAATCGTACCAAATTTATAAGGTTCAAATATTAAGCATATCACACCATTACAAATGTATATAGACTTAGGATAGTAATAGACAAACATGATGCACAAATAGGAAGAAAATTCCTTATGGCAATATAGCGAAATAGAAAAGGATAGCAAATCTCATGACTTTGTAACAGATTTTGAATGACAGGTCGGCACACAAGAAATGAGTCCTAAGATATTTTGTAATGTATTAGAGTATCATAGGTATTATTATCAGTAAGTAATTGTTTTCCAAAATGGTAACTTGTTCTGTGAGTGACTGGTGTAAATAATAGCAATAACCCCATTAATTGCACATTTCTCAGGTAAATTCTTAAGATGTCGTCAATATAATTAGACGAGTCTATTTTTGCTAAAATTTATATGATATACTCTCTAAAATAGAAAAGTCACGTTGTTGATAATTTAGATGAATTTGGTAAATACAATATTATTAAAAATATTTTAAATCTACACTAGAGATTGACTCAACTATATCAAAATTAATGTTCATATTTATCTTGAATGTTTCTAATTAATCGATAGACTTGCCCACACAACAAGAAGAAGAATAAAAATTAATGCTCAGTTGTGTTCTAAAAATGTAATTTAAATTTGACATTTGTCAAACAGATTTCGTCCAGATTCTATAATAAGAAAAAAATGGTTGAGATTATGTTGGTGGTTTGGATGTCCAAAGATGAACTCAAAAATTTGCAACAAACACTTTCTTGAGAAGTATAAAAGAAAAAGTAGTATAAAAACAATTTTATTAAAAGGAGCTATGTCCTATTAGGTACAACTTTGATCAAGAGTATTGATCAAAGTTGTACTTAATAGGATATTTTGTGGTACATACTACACATATTCTTCAATAACCTCAACATAGTGTTCCTAGCAATCTTAGATATGACACACAAAAAAAAAACATCAAAATCAGTCGAGCCATTTTTCGAGTTTTAGCAAGACTAACAAACAGCAACTGCTTTTATATATAGAGACCAGCAATATGTTGAGAAATCAAATATGAGCAGGTGAAATTGTAGAAATTGCACAATGTTAATAGGGTATTTTACCCATTTTCAAAAATTGTTTTAAATGAATTCTAGTGATAATGAACCACTATAATTTTTATATAATTTTTTAATTTTTTTAAAACTGAATAGTGCCAAAAAATTACTTTTAATTTATCGTTTTAAATTTTCGCGTGAAAACGCAAGCCGCTATGTTGTTTAACTCGTGACGTCACAGTCGTCGATTCTGCCGATTTTGCAAAGGAATAAGATACTTGTTAATATTTAATAATGAGTTATCATCTAAATCATTGTTGTGCCTGATGCAAAAATATGAGCATAAGAATGTCAGGAAAGTTATGGGTTCAAGTGCTAACTGATTTAAATATAAGAAATACTTGGCTAAAAATTTCATGAAGATACCCGAATACATTGTCTACATAAAAAAGACTATTCTTCTGTGAAGATCATTTTGATGTAAGTATGACTTATATTTAACTATTATTTAATACAAAACAAACATCATGAGGTGAAGGGTATCGCAAGTCAAATTTTGTAATAAATTATGTTAACTTAGATATTATAACTAATGATTGCTAATGATTGCAATTATAGATAAACTAAACTATGATAGCTACTAAACTATGTTTTATCAAAATACACTCTTACCTGGTGTTGTGTTTTTGTATAAACAAAAGTGGATAATAGGTTGATGTTTTAACATTCAACTCAGCAGAACAAAAATAGCGATTGCATGCAAAACTTCAACTTTTTTTGTCACTATCAATTTATTTATCCTTGGCAGATTAGTACTTTCTGCTTTTACAAATTCGTCTTCCATGATTCCTTTTCAATAAAAGTCGTAATAAAACTCAATAATCGTAATGATAACTTGAAAATTTTCGAAATAACACAGCATGTTAGCTAGTTCTCTTAATCAGTGATACAGAACACTAATATCCTTATGCTGGATCAGTGACGTCACGACATGACTAATATGGCGGACACTGTTTTACAGATTTAAGGTACACCCAAAAAAAATTATTAAAATTGAAATATAAAATTTTTATAAACAAATCAATATTTCTCATTTACTTTTTACAAAATCTATCATAAATATATATTTTTTGATTTTATTTTACATTGTGTAAAATACCCTATTAGAATTAAAAATAAATACTCACTTATGTGGTGTGTAAATGCACTCAAGAACCGTTTGCCAATTAGGATGATCAGCATAGTCAATAGCAACAAGTTCCTCTGTCAACATCTCAAGTGTTTCAATGGGCATAGTGTTCTTTGTATTTACAGAAGTTGCAAAAGCCATTACTGTTGGTACTACCTTAGAAAACCAGACCCCGACACCCTCCCTCACAAAGAGAGTTTTTTTGTCAGGTGGCAAAATTTTTAATAATTTGAAGATTATGTTCATGGGCTGAAATGAATCAATCAGACTTATCAAAGAACATAAATTATGGCTTCAATTTTCTTAATAAAATGATGGTATTGTTTTTGCTGTTGTGGGTATTGTTTTGGTTAAACAAATTGAAATGTAAGAGAAATTAAAAAAATAAAATTAAAGGCTAAATCGAATTTCCTAGATGCAAGCTTTATCTGTGCAAAAATTATCAAGATCAGTACAGTTGTTTAAGTGTAAAGGTAACTAACAGACACTTTGTCATTAATGATAATTATAGCATTATATCACATTACTCTTTATTTATCACAAAGAATTTAAATATTGAAAAACTAACCTGCAGCCTCATCTCCAATGGAATTCTGTGGTGACAGTATAAATTCAGCATCTCCATTATTTCAGTATAATGGCTTACCGCTAAAGTAACAAGAACATCATTAGGATAAGACAGTAATACTTCAAAACACAGCATCTTAAGTCCTTCTACTTTATTGAGTAGTGCTGTGGTTTTAATAATGTCAAGAACAGCAACAGCTGATGGCACAAGGTCTGGCAGTTGATGTAATTCTCCTGCCTAAAAGAGGAAATTTTCTAACTTTAATGAACTGAAACTATTTTATTTTATTTGAAGTTTTACAAAAAAAGTAAATATAAGTTTATTCTTAAATTTATAAGTTAAATCACATGTAATTTTTATTATATCATTTATATTAAAATGTACTTATTTTTAAGAAATCTATTTATTTTAAATAGTGTTTTATTTCTTGTCATAATAAACGGAATGTATGTATTATATTATAAATATAAATAAGCAAACAACCTACTTTTTGTCACACTAAAGTGAAAGGGGAAAATCCTTTTAGAAATATTAAATAATTCAATCAGTAAGTGAGAGTAAGAATAACCAGAAAATTCTTTTTCGTACATAGTATCAAGTAAATAAATTATATACCTTAATTTTTTTCAAAACAGCAACCAAAACATTTAATGTGTTGACGGTATTTTTCATATCTTCTTTTAAATCGCGTACGCACATATTAAGTAATCTTTCCACAACCGGCACTTTAATGTTTCCTTGTGTTTTTTCTAAAGCATCATGTATAGTTTGATAATTCTGAGCATTGAGTGCGAAATCGTCCAAGTGCTCAAGAACTTTTTCCAAGTCCGGACTAATAGATTGATCTTCCGGCATTTCTAAAAATTGTACACATATTAATATTGACCGCCGCTAATTAAAATTAGTAAATATGTATAATAGTGAATAATAAATTATATTTAAATAATATTGCACGATGAAGAACATTTGTGTCGACTAAACATAATTTTGTATGTGTGATATCTTTACAATAATTAATACTACCACATACGAACAAGAAACACTAAATACATACTTATTTCTAAATGTATCGTAGTGTTACACAAAATTTTTGTAAATAATTGCACATTTAACTAATAATCTAATAATAAAGCGATATCACTTTTGACATGTAACGCATTTCTGGCGCGAATGGAGACATAGACAAGTAAATTATTATTTACGACATGTAAAATAATTGTCTAGGCTCTAGGCCGTAATATACGCATAGAGATAAATATACGCGTCTTTTTCAATCATGTAAATGTTTAAACCATGGAGTATAGAGGTAAGGAGGACAATCTACCAAAGGAGAATAGTTGAAAATGTGTCCATCTGTAAGCAGTAAATAACAGTTCAAAACAAACAGCACTCGAGTAGCTACAGGGTATGATAAATCGACGTAAAATAAGTACATTGAGAGTGATTTTGAAAACAAAAATTTTGAAAGCAATAAAATAATTATTGTAAAAAGAATTATAGTGAAATTCTGTGCAATAAAAAATTATAAAAAGTTCTTTGAAATTTAGACTGTAGCCAAAGTGGCGCTACCCTTATTTAACGCTTTCCTACGGACACTTTTTTATATAGTCTGTACTCCTTACCTCTACACTCCATAGTTTAAACCTTGGAGTACGGAGTATAGATGTAAAGAGTACAATCTCCCATAGGAGAATGTGGTCTGTAAGCAGTAAATAACAGTTCAAAAAATCTCCACAACAGCGCTCGAGTAGCTACAGGGTATGATAATACGCCGCAAAATACGTTGAAAGTGATTTTGAAAATAAAAATTTTGGAAGCAATAAAATTATTGTAAAAAGAATTATGGTGAAGGTCTGTGCAATAAAAAAATATAAAAAGTGCTTTAAAACTTAGACTGTAGCCACCTTGTAGTATGGAGTAGAGTTGTTCAAAACGACTATAAATGAATAGCACGCTAAGAATATAAACTATAAATTTCTAGCGCGCTATTAAATACGCTATGTTATAGCGCACCCGAAACGTCGGAAATCAAAAGTCAAAATTTAACGTTTTTGTATAGTGTTCGCGTAAATATAAGAAGTCATAATTGTAAACTTGTCAAAATTATGAAATATTTTCAAGAAGAATAATATCGGTGTTAAGGGTAATAATAAAACTATTTAATCTATTGACATAATTACAGCTAGACATTACCTCCCACAAGTTCAAGGTTGGTACAGCAGTATCGGCTAACCTCCTTTTATTGATAACTTAGGGTATGAAATATGATTTATCAAAATATCCATTGCAGATGATACTGCAGTAATATTTACTGATGACTTCTGGGATTATGTTCGTAAATCTGCTTAAGAAGGCCTTTCTAGGATCGCTAAGTCGCTGAACACTAACCTACTTACTTTAAATACTTTGAAAACTAGTTATATATGTTTTAAAAATTATCAGACTAATATTAATTTTCAAGTTAAACTTCACACATAATATGATCCCTTAAGTACTAGTTGCAGCTGTTCATTAATTAGTAGTCTCTGAGACCAAGTATTTAGGAGTCATACTGGTGGTTGACCAACATTTGTCATGGCATAGACACATTGAATTAATCATGAATAGACTTAGGAAACTTACATGGACATTTAAAACACTAAGACGAAAAAGTTACTGTACCAAATATATAATATTGCTTTGGCTCAATCTGTCTTAATATATTATATTCTTGTATGGGGTGGAGCTACAAAAACCGAATATCTAGAAGTTGAAAGGGCACAGAGAAATTTACTACAAATTATGCATTTTAAACCAAAAAGATTCCCTACAGAAGATTTTACGCCATAAGTAATGTACATACTGTTAGGAAACCGTACATCTTATAGTAAGTTCTTAAAGGTATAAAGTTTAACCGTTGTATTGTAGTAAAAGACGGAAAAACGTAGTAGCCACTACTGCTAGCTGTCGCTGTTAAAACTGTTTTAGCTAGGAGGCAATATATAAAACAGTCAGCGACTCTATGCAACACTATTAATAAAATTCATCATCTAATTACCATTATTACAAATATGTTCTAACCGAATGGATATTTCATAAGAGCTATGATAATAAAGCTCTTTTAAGCAATATGAAATAATGTAATTTATAACACATACAAGCGCGTGCGCGCACTCACTCATTCATTCACACACTCGCGATATACCCTTAGCGTGAATATTATTATTTTTTTATTTTAATTTTATAGCTAATTATTATATAAAGAACATGCGGATAGTAATGCAAGTGCTATGGAAGAGACTCCATCTCCTAACAAAAAAACTTTTTTACTCCTAAAAGGAGACTTCACTCCCGGTTATAACTTATGTATGATCATTTACTGAATAAAATGTTTTAATTTATTATTATTATTAAACATATGATAGAAAAATTTACCATTGTTGTAATACTTTATCATAAAATCTAAACAAAAAATAAAAACCTGTTCAGCAAACAAACCCGAATGGGTTAATTAACTTATAGATAGCTAAAGTTGTGGCGTACATCACTACATTGCAGCCGTAGACAGAGAAACCTATAGACTAATGATTAGCGTGGCCTCGAGTGAGAAAGGACAATAAAGTAGTTTTAGGTTATGCAACAATCTTTATGACTTATAAACATATTTAGATAAAAATTTAATTGTTCTAAGAACTGAACTGAACAAAATTCACCAATTTCAAGCTCACAGAACACTTTTTTCTCACTTAAACCAACTTGTAAACTCCTTAGATCGCTACGAACTGTCAAAGTTGTTTAGCAAAGTGTAGTTTGCTAAACAAAAAAACCGGCACGGAGAAAGGGACAAACAATCACACCACTATGTCTCATTTCTATGCAAGACGTATGCATAAATCTGTCTTTTTCGTGTGCGAATGCAAAAAAAGGCGTCAATTTGTCTATAGGTTTCTCTGTCTACGATTGCAGCACTTTCGTTTGGAGTGATACCAGATAAATTTTACAAAAGTTGCATACATTTGCTACGAAGTGGCTAGTTTCGATTCGACTTATTCAGCCTTTATTTTGTATATTATTTTGATAAAGACTACTTATCGATTATATTAAATTATAATATATTCAGAATCGTGTTGCGATTGAGCTGAATATTTAAATAATGTGACAAAATCCACTACACATCTTAATGTAATGATTATTATTCATTACAAACTGATTAAGTTAATAGGAAATAAATTTTCGTTAGTATATTTATTTTGTGTAGTAAATTATATTTATTTAACAATCGCTTATTTTTTACTTCATGAACTATTGTGGCAACACTTGGTATTTGATGAAAATATTTAGAAAATACGAGTTTTAACGATAATATTATGATAAAAGTATTCACAGATGAAAAGCCACGTCTTTTTGTAGATATGACGGTTTTGATTGTTTTTTTTTTCATTAAAATACACTGCAATTTGGCATTTTTGTTGAAGCCCAACTTGCGATGCCGTCTCTTTTAGTTTAACACTCAAAGCCGTACGGGCTATAATAACAAGTAGACGTTATTATTCTTATTTGTAATCTTTTATTTGATACGCTTATAATGAAGAATAAATAAATAAATAAAAACCCATTAAAATCAATATGGGGAAATTTTAGTTTAAAATACAAAAATGAATTATACTAGTTTTTTGAATTTTATCGCGGATATTAACTTTTTTTATATACCCGACGATTCGAGCACTTTACAGCACCCATGGGGACTGAAACTCAATCCCCCCGTTACCATCCTCCGTTGACGCTAGCTGCCGTGACCGAAATTCGGTCTGGGGTACAATTCTTACAATAGCTATATTTCATATATAAATTTGGACTGAGATGTTCAACGTCCAGATGTCATAGTTAGCTGCGGTTACAATAGATTAAAATTATTAATCTTTATTCCGATCTACGCAGTATGAACTTACTACCTATATAGTATCTTGATTCCGTGGACCATAAATTGCTCGTACACAAATTAGAAAAATATGGGATAAGAGGTAAAGCGAACGACTAGTTGAGAAACTATTTATGTGAGAGACAACAATGTGTGGAAAAATCTAAAATCAATAAATACAAAAAAGTGTTATACAGAAGCGACAATCAGGTAAATGACTTTGGCGTGCCACAAGGCAGTGTATTGGGACCATTCTTACTCCTCATGTATATTAATGATCTCCCTAATATCACTCGCCATAACACAATCTTGTTTGCTGATGACACAACCCTTATCGTGAAATGCGAAAATGCAGATACATATGAAATAGAGATAAATAAAGCAATCAAAAACATAATAAACTGGCTTTATTGTAATAATTTACAGATTAATATGGAAAAAACTAAAATGATCCAATTTCAGACATATCAGAGAAAACTATTGAATATTAATGTTAAATATAATGATAAGATCATCGAACAAGTAGCAAGTACTAAATTTCTGGGTATAATGTTGGATCGAAATTGCGACTGGCAAACACATGGCTATTACGTTTGTGACAAACTTGACAGATTCGTCTACGCAATGAAGAGATTACGAGTCACGGTATCAACTGATGCTGCTCTATGTGCATATAACGGATATGTTTCTTCAGTACTATCATATGGTATTTTATTGTGGATTCAGTAGATATAATAAAAGTATTTAGAGTACAAAAAATGTGTGCGTGCAATCTATGGAGCAGGGTATACGGATAGCTGTAAGCCATTGTTTAAAAAGTACAATATCAAAAGTGACAAAGTGTTAACGATGTTGTTCATTACAAATAAAGCATATTTGTAAAACAACATCCTGAACACTTTGAAAGGCATATGGATGTAACTGAACGAAATGTAGCTCCTAGAAATAAACATAAATTACACTTACCTCAATGCATTCTCAAATTGTATGAAAGGAACTCTTACGTAAATGCTATAAAGGTGTATAACAAAATACCCAACAAATTTAAAGAGTTACCTTTAACCATGTTTAAAAAAAAGTTGATACAATGGTTAAAAGAAAAATGTTTTTACGATATAAATGAATTTATGTCTTTTTGTGGAAAATAAATTCGAAGTCAGTAATATTGATATATATCTAATAATTAAT